TGCCTGGCTCCTGCTCACACTGTGTCTCTCTCTTCCTCTAAAAAATAAACGTTAAAAAAATTTTTTAAAGTCTGTGTCTAGGCATGACAGAATAAAATTTACAAACATGGCATATCAAGAAATCTTAACATCTTTCCAGATTAAAAAATAAATAAAAACACTTCTATGAAAGGCTATAGAAATCCATATGTCAACTTCTTTTGCAACTTTTGATACTGCAGGAAGTAGGATGAGGCTTTTAAGCTTTGGGTGAATGATTTTCCATGTAGAATCTTATAACCATTCAACTATTGGCAAAATATTAAAATAAATTATAATCATTTAGGGAGAGTAGGAACCATAAAATTTGCTTTCAGACAACATCTCCTAGTTAAATTCTTGACTATTAGTTCCCATGAAATAAGCAAATATCTTTCACCTCAAAGTAAAAAGTATGACTATATGTCTTCATCTATGAAATAAGATGAGGATTGAGTAAATTAATATAAGTAAGTTAATACAAGTAATGCAGTTTTAAAATTGTTTAGGATTTAGCAGTGCAATCTACATATCAGTAGTCGTGGTGGTGGTGGTGATGGTGGTGGTAGTGGTGGTGGTGAGGAGCCCAGAAATTTCTGGATCTAAAGCAGAAAAAGAATTCCAAGAATCTTAGGTAGAAAAGGAAATAAAAAATAAAACCAAAGCAAGGGTGAAAGGACAGGGTGAGGGGTTGGAGGGGGGTAATTAGATACTCCAGGAGTTTAAATCCCTGGTTAAATTAAATAAAGTGCTTCATTTTCTACAGGGGTGACTTCAAATAGCTCTTTGATGTTACATAGGAAAGTTTTTAATTGCCAGGCAAAGTATTGTTTGTAAAACTATTATTAATTTCTAGTTTTTGTACATTTGAATAGAGAATATGAATTCTATAATATCTAACAGTTATTTTTAAATTATTGATACCTTCTTTATTCTTTAATGTGGATCATGAGCACATGCAAGGACACTGTTTTTCTCTTTGTAGAGTAAAGCGCTTCTTCTATAGAAAGTCTCTGTGGGGCACCTGGGTGGCTCAGTCGGTTAAGCATTCATCTTCAGCTCGGGTCATGATCACATATCATAGTTTGTGAGTTCAAGCCCCATGTCAGGCTCTGTACTGACAGCTCAGGGCCTGGAGCCTACTTTGGTTTCTGTGTCTTCTTCTCTGTCAACTCCTCCCCCACTGGCACTCTGTCTCTGTCTCTGTCTCTCTCTCAAAAAATATAAACATTAAAATTATAATTAAAAATTTTTAAAAATAACGTTTCTGTGGTTTAATCTCGTTAGTCTCTGTAGAAATTTGTATTGTACTCTATATCTTTCTGGATCTTTTCTTCTATGTTTCTTTTGTTGAATGTCATTGAAGCAGTCACTGTCTGATAGATAAATACCAGACCCAATCTAATACATGAAGTGTTTGTGGTGAGCAGTATGTGGACATATATCTATTAATCCAAACTTTACCATCTACCCTACAGAACAATTTTCCAGTACAAAAACCCCTGGTATTAGTATTTAAACCTCAGAGAACATATCTCTCAGTAAACCTTGTCAATCAATGTTTATGTGGGATATATCAATATTTGTAACTCAAAAAATCAATACAACATGAAAATGTTCTATTTTGGCATTGGGACTTAGTGTGAGAGGTATTTTTGCACCATGAAGCTGGCTCTGAATATAACTAAAACCCCCATGCAAACGTGTCTTTATCTGAGCATTAAAATGTATAGTCTCACTTCCCTCTACCTTCTGTAACTTTACTCCTAATATTCTTTATTTTCCCTTACTTCCAACTTAGGACCATGAGGTTCATGTTTGGCCTGGATTGAAAGCAGAATGAATAGAGGCAAAGATATTATAAAAATGATTTTGTCTATCTGTGGGAAGGTGGGACCCACATGAAATTTCTGAAACTTTCTATAATATTTGCCTACCTTGAGACATCAAAAATGATGTGGGAAGATTCGGAAAAAACAAATTTCCAGCTCCCATATGCTCAGAAGTTGCCTTCAAATATCCCTTGGGAGTTCAGTCCACTTCTCTGGATTTCAATGGGAAGCCAGGAGTCACTGAAAAATGGATCTCTCCTGCCATTGCAGCCCAGCTGATATACACAGGAGAAGAAGCAGGCTTGCAAGCCAGTGCTTGGTATGGATGAAGCTTCTCCACCCTTGGGCTTACATTCTTCCTCATGTGCATCCAGAAAGAATCTGGGGATGTATTTCCAAGATTCTGTTTTAAAGACAGGGACCTGCCAAGGTACAGATGTTACCCACACCACCTAGCATTCCCCTTTCTTCTCTGAGGAAAATATCTGTGCTTTCCTTTACAAGGAGATTGGGAAGCACAACAAAAATAATCTTCAGACAAAAATATACAATGAAAAGAATCAAAAGGTTAGTGGAAGCATGAAGAATGACTGATCAAGAAAGGTGGACTTCCCCAGTATCCTCCCAAAGGCCTCAGGAGAGCCAGGATGTTATCAAGCTCTTTCTCACCGTAAAATCTATTGTTTTAAAACTCAGTACATACACCATATGTAGAAAATTGTAGTTTGGACTTTCACCTGAAATCAGTAGCAACATTCAGCCTGGGATTTTAGAAACCCTTGGGAAATTGTCAAATAATTTCTTTGAAAAATCTTGGCAGAGAATATGTGGACATCTGGGAATCAGTGTTACCATTGACAATGGAAAGATAAATATAAAAGTTGTATCAGTAAACCTCGTTCTCTACAGTGACCAACTAGCTGCCCCCAAGACACCAGGTGTGCCTTAACTTTCTGCCTCTGTGTCTTCAGGATCTAATAAGGTTTGGGGACCTGAACACTCTGCTCACTGGCTACGTCCAGCAGCATGTTTGGTGCTGCTGACCAAACAGTCCTGTGGCAAAAATATCAGAGGGACTTCAAAAGTGCATGACAGCAGCTTCTCTTCGTGGATGCAGGAAAAGCAGGATGCATCTCACATAAAAAGGTGAGGATATGATGGAGAAGTTCAGTGCACTAGAAGGTGTCTTGGAGCAGGTGTGCCCATGACAGTGGAGTGCTTCAGCAGAAGGACCCTGGCCCTAGGAGCACCCAGGGCTAAAATTAAAAGAAGCTGCCTAATCCCATTCCCTGGTATAGAGGTTGGACAGCAATGTTGCAGGTTAAGGAAGCTTTTACCTACTTGGGGGAGCAGAGCCAGACCTTTCATCAGGACCCTAAGTAGTCCATGAATCCAGCTCTATCCCTCCATTAGGAGCAGTGAAATGTGGTTGTTTTAGTCTGTCAGCTCCTTTCTGAGGTTTCAGGGGTCAAGGCTGCCATGTAGGCTTGCTGTCATGTGAAACATCCTGGGCTGTAGAAACAAGGCATTGTCAGCCAAAACACTGGCTGCATGGGAAGCCTATTGACCCTATTGTGGGGCAACAAGCTATGACAAATACATTTACTTCTCCTCTCCTTTCCCCTCAGCCCACATAAAATCCTTCTTTATTAGAGCACACTGGCAGCTAGAGGAGGTAGCACTGCCCACCATGAAGTGACTCCTGTGTGTGACTAGCGTCAGGAACTGTGGTAATTTTGTGAACTTTCTGGGTCAACTGGAAGAGAAGCAAATGCACCTTCAGGCTGTTCCACTCAGAGGGTGAGCAGTTTGGTTTCACAAGCCTGAAACACAGTGGGTTACTGAGAATGACACATTCCATACTGCCAAGCTCTGGCTTAGTATTGAGATGCTACAGCCAAACACCATCATAAGAGACGTCACTGATTGGGAAGTCTGAAGAGTGAAGAATGTTCAATGAGCTTTCATTGAAGAGTGAATGTAGGTTCCCAGCATATGCTCCTAAGTGCCTTAATCCTGTGCACTACCATCATTCCCACTGCCCTAACAACCCAGCATGCACTCTGGGGGTGGGTGGTAAATCCTGCATTCACAGTTTACGTTACGCTGTTGAGCAGCCCAAAATATCTCTGTTCTCCAGTCTCTTCTACAAACTGCTTGTGCTAAAGTAGATCTTTTCTGGCTCCATGTCAATCTACAGGTCAGTAACTCATCAGTGATACTACGCTTAGATAGAAACATAATAAATAAAGCTAATCTTGCACTAAAGGTTGAGAGATCATCAGCAATAAATTTGTTTCCATTTAAAATATTTTGTCTGAGTGTTATGTAGAAACTAATTTGACAATAAACTATTTGTAAAAAAATAAAATAAAATAAAATAAAATAAAATAAAATATTTTGTCTCTGCATTTAGAGATAGCAGATACTCTGGACATGGACATTCTAGCTAAAGTCCCAGGTATGTGCCCTAAGCTCTCTGAATCTAAGTGTCAGTTTCTGCTTCCTTAGAAGAAGAGGCTCATCGTTATTGTAAAGGGTAATAGAAAAAGTGAATTTCAGTGACCAGCATAGAATAGGTATGAATATCAACAGAAGATGATGATGACAACTTGGACCACAGAATGTTACATATTAAAATGGACACACAAAGGGAATATTACAAACTTAATACTAAAAATATATAATATTATTAATAACAATAAAATATTTAATAACTCAAAACTTTCAAACATTCTGCCTACTGATGATGCTCTATTCAAGAATACAATTAATGACCATCACATGACAATTAGACCTTGAGGAACACATAGGAAACATTGGCATCATATGCCAAGTGAGCTGCATGCTTTATCTTACTTATTCTCACAAGAACATGAGTAGGCAGATCCTGTCATCTTCATTTTGCTGAGGGTAAAAGTGAAGTTCATAAAGGTAAACTACATTTCCACAGATGACTCATCTCTCAGGGATTAGAACTCAGTGTTGAATCACTATTGAACTCAGGTCCTTCTGATTCAAGAACCAATTGGATAAGTCACTTTGCTATCTTCCTGGCCACTTTCTTGGATAGGCAAATAATTCAATCATATGCTCTGCTAAAACATTTGCTCTCCTTTATGTCTTTATTCTAGATCAAGACCAGCAGTGATGATGCCGCGGAAAGAGATGCCCATGGAAATGGGGAATGGGACCACTGTCCAGGAATTCACCTTGGAGGGGTTCCCTGCCTTCCAACACCTGGGAAAGGTCCTCTTCCTGGTGCACCTGCTGGCATACCTGGCATCCATTGCAGGCAATGCTCTCATAGTGACCATCACCTGTGCCGACTCCCGGCTACAGACACCTATGTACTTTTTCCTCAGCATTTTCTCCTTCTTTGAGTGTTGTTTCATAAGTGCTGTTATTCCTAAGTTGCTGGTCATCTTTCTTTTAGGCAGGCAAACCATTTCCTTTATTGCCTGTTTCATACAAGCCTTTGTGTATGTATATCTGGGTGCAACAGGTTTCTTCCTCATAACAGTGATGTCTGTGGATCGGTGCATGGCCATTTGCAAGCCTCTGCATTACCCAACCATCATGAACCTCAAGACTTGCTTCCGCTTGGTCACTTCCTGTTGTGTTTTGGCTTTCACTCTCATGACTGGTCTGATAGTAAAGGTTTCCCAATTATCCTTCTGTGGCCCAAGTGTCATCCCCCACTTCTTCTGTGACCTTGGTTCCCTGATTCATCTCTCTTGTTCTAATACCAGGTCTGTTGAAATGTTGGCCTTTGTCCTTGCTTTGTGTATCCTTCTGACGTCCCTTCTCATAACCATCATTGCATACAGCAACATAGTAGTCACAATTGTGCGACTCCCATCAGCCAGGGAGCGACAGAAAGCTTTCTCCACCTGCTCGTCTCACTTGATAGTCCTCTCCCTGATATACGGCAGCTGTGTCTTTATATACGTGAAACCAAAGCAAACAAACAGGCTGGACTCCAATAGGGAGGCTTCACTTGTGCACACGGTGGTGACCCCATTGTTGAACCCTGTCATCTACACTCTGAGGAACAAGCAGGTCCACCAGGCTCTGAGGGAGACAATTTTCAGAATGAAAATATCTAGATAAAAATAAAATCACTTTATAGCCTTGGAGTCGAAGGCTTTAGAAAACCATTTTTCTTCATTCCAGCCACTGTAGTAGTCCACAGAGTTCTGGTATAGCATCTCTGGCAACCACACTTGATTTATGCACATTCCTAGAAAAATGTAAATCTGTTAAATTACATCAAAATTAAAAACATTGTTCAGCTCACACCCCTGTTTATTACAGCATTATTTATAATTGCCAAGATATGGAAGCAACCCAAGTGTCCATCAAAAGGTTAATGGGTAAAGATGCGGTTTTATGTGCATAAGGGAATATGATTCATCCATAAAAAAGGATTAGATTTTTTTATTGTAACCACAGGGATGAAGTTCCAGGGTATGATGCTAGTGAAAGAAAACAGGTAGAGAAATGATTTCACTTTTAGATGTGAAATCTAAAAAGAACAAATACATAACCAAACAAAAGTATTAACAGACCCATAAATATGGAGAACAAATTGATGCTTGCCAGAAGGGAGAAGGTGGGGGATGGGTAAATTGGTGAAGGGGAATGGGTGATACAGTTATGGAATAAACAGTTCAAGGGGATGAAAGGTACAGCACAAGGGATGTAGTCAATGGTATTTTAATAGTGTTGTATTGTGACAGATGGGAGCTACAGTTGTGCTGATGATTATATAAGAAATAAACTCATCAAATCACACATACACGCAAAACAGAATCTGTTTTTGCAAGTCCACACTTTACCTTGATATACATAACAATCTTCTCCCAAATTTTCCACATTTTGATGACATTTTATTCATTGCAAAATTCCTTGCTGAATTTTGATTCTTCCCTCTGAAATAAATCATGTGCTTGAAATTTCCTAAATTTCATAATTTATATACTTTGTATTTCACTTCCCTCTAGACATAAACGTGGCTCAACAAGTATTCATATTTATCAAAGGGCATTTAGATCATTAAAATGGTAGAAGGTTGGATAGTACATTGTGGATATGAAGGAAATGACAGAAACAGCACCAGTGCTTGGATCCACAGTCCCTCCATGCTTAGTCCAAGGAAATGATGGGCATAGTACTCTTCGCCCTTGAATATACATGGTTTGCAACAGGTGTGCTCTTAAATGCTGTTCTTAGCTCTTAGCTTAGCTACACATGTCTGTATCAATCCCATGCTAGAGAGAAACAGAACTGTTCTCACACTTAGAGCATTCTCAAAAGACAAGGAATAAACACACAGCCAACAGCTTACCAATGCTCCTATTGCCTAAATTTTTTTATTCTATCTCCAGACAGCCTCTCAGAATCATAATGTATAATTATGATTGATTCTTATCTGAAAGCTTGTCTTTATCAGAGAAAGGAAGCACTTATTTCATATTTCTATAATTTCTCCCAAAGATTCAAGTTTACAGAATGTGAGTTATTTGCTTATCTATTTCATATTACTAGTGAAAAAAAACTAAGCCTTTTTCCTGGTTGTTTTGCGTTGTAAACTATAAGGTTATGTTCTGATTGATAACCTACCTTAAAATCAGCATTTCCAATACATCAATCGTCAAACTTTGTGTACATATCATACCTATTGTCCAGCTAGAGTTGGTCTCTTTTTTATTTTACAAGAAACAAATCTAAAAAGAGTGAAACAATTTTTTGTTTTGTTTGTCATTAGCCCAAACCCTGAGGTTAGATCATCTCAAATACATTTTATGAAACACATTCTACACTGTGATTAGATCATACATGGTCTTGATGGTCTTATTACAAATTTCAGATTTCATCTTATTGACAATGAAGAAATATGATACATGCCCTAAAAAATCACAGATAATTAGCTGTATAGATTATATACAAAGAATTTGGAAAAGCCATGATGAGAGCGGAAATTGCATACAAACTGTTACAGGAGTGGGAGACAGAGAATGATGGCTTAGGGAAGTGGCAGTGGGAATGGAATACTAAGGGACCATAGTAGACTGGGAATCATTTGCACTAGACAAGCCTGGTGCTGCCTTCACCTACCTGATCAGCTTCCAAAAACACTGAAGTAAACTTCTCCGTAAAATATTAGATTGAGCCACATAATCTCTAGGGTCCACTTGAGAATACTCCTAAAGACAGCTACAGGATGCTGCGGGAACTTGGGTGTACTTCAGAGCTGAACAACTGAAGAGTGTACGGAAACGGTTGAGGTATGGCAATGCAGGAAGAAGTCAAGGAATTGTGGTCCAACTACTGAAAAGAGTGTGAGCCTCCCCAAGGTTTTAGTCAGGGTTTGATAAAAATGTATTTTACTTAAATTAACGTAATGCACTTCATGTTACCTTGAGATAGACTATGCTTGAAGGGTGAGCTTGACAAACAGAAAGTGAAGACCAGAAATCCGTGTCTAAGTCTCTAAATCCAACCAGTTGTTACCAGTCTAGATGGGACCCGGTGAAGGACAAACCCTAATGTGAAAATTAATGCTCTAGATTCTGGTGCTGTAAAATGCTTTACTGAGATAAATTTCTTAAGCTAATTCTATGTTGAAGATACTTCCAATCCTAATGTTTAAGTCACTTCATAGAAGTATGACTGACATACAAAAGCTGTAGATATTTGATGTATACAATTTGATGTGTGTGGAGATAAATACACACCCAGGAAACCACCATCACTATCATTGCCATTAACCTATCTATCACCTCCCAAGATTTCTTGCTGGACCCTTTGCTATTGATTTTTTTGTCCTTACATGGAAGGTAAAAGCACTTAATTTAAGATCTACCCTCTGGGGCGCCTGGGTGGCGTAGTCGGTTAAGCGTCCGACTTTCGCTTAGGTCATGTACTCGCGGTTCGTGGGTTCGAGCCCCGCGTCGGGCTCTGTGCTGACTGCCAGCTCAGAGCCTGGAGCCTGTTTCAGTCTGTGACTCCCTCTCTCTCTGACCCTCCCCTGCTCACGCTGTCTCTCTCTCTCTCTCCTAGAAATAAA